CATCCATTATCTCTGATCGAGATAGTAGATTCACCTCGCGTTTCTGGCAGTCCCTACAGAAGTCTCTGGGAACCAGGCTAGACATGAGTACGGCCTACCATCCACAAACTGACGGACAAAGCGAGAGAACCATCCAGACGTTGGAAGACATGCTGAGAGCCTGTGTGATAGATTTTGGTAAGGCATGGGATACCATCTACCGCTTATCGAATTCTCTTATAATAACAGTTATCACACTAGCATTGGAGTCGCTCCATTCGAAGCTCTCTACGGTCGCAAGTGTAGATCACCACTGTGTTGGGCCGAAGTTGGAGATACTCAGCTAGCCAGAGGGCAAGTCCCTGATAGCACCCTTACTGGGCCTGAAATCATAAGGGAAACCACAGAAAAGATCATTCAAATTCGGGAAAGACTAAAAGCGTCTCGTGATCGACAAAAGAGTTACGCGGATAAGCGACGCAAACCTTTAGAATTCCAGGTCGGAGACCGGGTACTACTTAAAGTTTCCCCCTGGAAGGGGATGATACGTTTCGGTAAACGGGGGAAACTAAACCCAAGGTACATCGGTCCGTTCGAAATCCTTGCTAGGATTGGTCCTGTGGCGTACAAACTCCGACTACCACAAGAACTTAGTAATGTGCACCCTACCTTCCACGTATCCAACTTAAAGAAGTGTCTGTCTGACGAGACACTCGTAGTACCACTCGAAGAAATCGAAGTTAATGAAAATCTCCACTTTGTGGAGGAACCCGTCGAGATCATGGATCGAGAGATCAAGAGAACAAAACAAAGTCGCATTCCCATAGTGAAGGTTCGTTGGAACGCGAAACGAGGGCCTGAGTTTACCTGGGAACGTGAAGATCAAATGAAGCAAAAGTATCCACATCTTTTCCCAAACCCTTGAAGTTCCCAGCCGAATTTAAATTTCGGGACGAAATTTCCTCTAACGGGGGGATGATGTGACAATCGTCAATCTTGAGTCAAGTCAAGTCATCAAGTCAAGACCGGTCAACTCGATTAAACCTTGTGTATTAGGGTTTGTGTTATGTTCATACTGTATAACTTGCTATATTAATGGGAAAACATCACTTGAGAAAAGTCTTGTGTTAAAAATTTCCTAAACCCTAGTTCTAATCAATGAACTAGACCGATAAAACAATGTTGCATACTCATCGGGAATGTGTAAGATCCTTAAACAAGGCTTAATAGGGTTCACGAACCATGCATTTCGATGCCGGACACTCACAACTATCCCACATGGAACCTCTCTCAATCGTTTCCACACTATCTCTCTCTATGTCAAACCTCTCAAATCTCTCCAAGTATGCAAATCTCTCTCAAATATCTCTCTAGAAATCTCTCCAAGAATGTCAAACCTCTCCCAAATCTCTCCAAGTATGCGAAATCTCTCTCAAATATCTCTCTGTATTAGAAATCTCTCCAAGAATGTCAAATCTCTCCCAAATCCCTCTAAGTATGTGAAAACTCTCGCAAATATCTCTTTGTATGAGAAATCTCTCCAAGAATGTCAAATCTCTCCCAAATCTCTCCAAGTATGCGAAATCTCTCTCAAATATCTCTCTGTATTAGAAATCTCTCCAAGAATGTCAAATCTCTCCCAAATCCCTCTAAGTATGTGAAAACTCTCGCAAATATCTCTTTGTATGAGAAATCTCTCCAAGAATGTCAAATCTCTCCCAAATCTCTCCAAGTGTGAGAAATCTCTCCCGAATCTCTCTCAAATAGTTCCCGTAACTTTTTAGAATCATCGGGTCATTCCGACGCTTAACCGTGTCAAAAACAGCTTAAAACGGGGTAAAAACGAGAAAAATAGACATTAGGAACCGAAACCAAGAGAGAAGCTTCTTAGGACCCGAAGGTCCTCTTAGGGACTGAGAGCAAGAGGAGCCGAACCGAACCCTCCTGAGCCGAACCGAACCGAAGGTACTGTTCACCACTAACCGAAACCGAACCTGCCCTGAAGAACCGAACCGAAGGTACTGTTCACCATAACCGAAACCGAAACCCTGAAGAACCGAACCGAAGGTACTGTTCACTACTGTTCACTACAGTCGTTCGGTTCTGACTTCTCGCCTTTATTCCCGACCGAACCCTCGCCTCGCCTCTCACTTCCGGTTCGCGCCTTCTCGTTTCTCACCTCCTCCCCTTTCGTTTCCCTCTGTTCGTTTCCGGCTACAATCCTCAGCGTGGACCGAGTCTCGGCCTAGGGACCGAACCTCGGCCTAGGACCGAGAGGTCTCGCTGGGAACTCATTTTCTCCCGGTTTTCGCGTAGTTTTGCGTTTAAGGCCCGTTTTTAATTATTTTAACGTGGGAATTTCACCCAAAATCATATTTTAACATAATAAACCCTAAATATTCACAATTTAATCATATTTTCATAAAAATCTTTATTTAAATAATGAAAGCAAGTGGGTAAAGTACAAAGAGGTGGAGTGTTGACTTTGCTTTACCTTATAACACAAGCAACCACTCCCACACCCACTCTATGACCAGCCACACCTCCCCACCTTACCTAGGTCACATCAATGTCCTTTCCACTCAATTATCACTCTTTCCCACGTTTTTGAGAGCTGAATATTCATCCTCTCTCCTCACTTCTCTCATTTGCTCTCATTTCACAAGAAGATCAAACTCTTTCCTCTCTCACTTTCTCTCTCTAGAAATTCGAGATTCAAGGGCTGATCTTGAGTTTTCCTCCACATTTGGTAAGCATAATCCATTCTCTTTATGATTATCTCATTATTTCCACTCAAATCATGGATATCTTAAACAAACTCTCTCATAATTGTGTTAGATCTTCGAATCTTCAAGTGATTCTTCAAGTGTTCTTGGGTTGAACACTTCTCTTCTTCAACACTTACCTACTGAAATCACTTAAGGTGAGTCTATACCCCTACATTTTCATGTTTTCTCAAGTTTTCAGGGGGGGAATACAAGTTAAAACACTAAGAACATAATTAAATTTTTCTAACAGCCTTCATCAGAAAAGTTCAACTCCATTCACGGACTGTTTTGGGCATCTTAAACATTTTTGTTTTCAAAACTGTACAAGGTGCAAATAGTTCAAGTTTGTAGCTTTAAAATGACTACTTGCACATCTCCATACGATTTTTCTACAATTTATGGTGATTTTTACAAAACTGCCTATCATTTCAAACAACAATCCGGACCAGTCTGTGATTATGGACATTTTCACCCAAGTTGGAGGTCATTAAAAATCGTGATAAAAATTATGAGTAAACTAGACACATTTTGTGAACTCTCAGAATTTACGGATCTAGTTTTCGACTTCGTATGATTTTTCTATGATTTTTACAAAACTGGGCAGAATTGCTAAAGTTAGCCAACAGCATGTAAATATCATAACACTTTGTAATATGTTGAGCAAAGTGTATAATCATAAGTTCTAATATTTGAATGTGTTTCCTTGTTAGTTTATCATTGTGAACTGAAACTAAGTCATTCATATTAAATATTATTCATTCATTTAGAACACGTATTATGTAACTATAAAAAGTATAGTTGGATAAATTCACAACACTAATACATTTCCATAAAAAGAATTCATACATATTATATACATTTTAGATAAACTATAATAGGTATAGTTTATGATACATCACTCAACACACTCGTACAAAAAGGGTACATTCATACAAGAAAGATTTATATCCACACACATTTCACGTAAACTTGTTAACCTATGTTGTGAGACTCTCTCTCCCCGTACGTCCGAGTGCGGGATATAATTCCTGGTAGTTATAATCAAAATCTCCTTGAGGAGAACGTGATACTTGTATATAGATCTATATTGGGTTTGACACCCACACCTTGCTGCTAGCTACAGTGGGACCTGCAGGTCTACGGGTGACAAATGTCATTTCATTTTCGCGACGCTGAGAAACGTTGTGGCAGGTTCACATAGTCACAGTATGATTATAGCGACTCACCTAGGGAGATAACAATTCATAAAGTTTACGGGGTTTCATAAAACCGAAGTAGGTTTTAGGTTGATAAAGAAATTTACTTTCCATATCATTTTAAACTCACGACATTTCTACTAAGAAATGATGATTTCTTATACATTTTAGTCTTTGGTTATAAGGCTACATTTTTCGGATTTCAAGGAAAATATCGGATTTTTCTGACACAAACGCGACATTTACATGTGATAGACTTCTACTAAGTTTATTAATAAAAGCTTATGAACTCACCAACCTTTGTGTTGACACTTTTCAAACAACTCGTATTCTCAGGAAAACACTAAACAGGTAATCAAGTGCTTTTGAGGATGGGACGTTAAGACGTCAAACTTTTCATATTTTGTCAACATATTGTAATTGATTTTGAAACATGTAATTCATACAAGTGATGTAACTTTTTCAATTATATATATATGTTGCTTGTGTTTGCTTAAATTACTATTGAAATTGTGGTTATGATACTATACATGAAGTCCTCCACCCCCGGACGTTTCCGCCATCCTTGGTTTGGGGGTGTGACAGATTGGTATCAGAGCACGGTTTATAGCGAATTAAGTATGTCAAACCACATAAGATATACAAACTATAAACACATTTGGGACTAAAGGTCTCTGATTCTTAAAATGCTTTAACGAGTTGTACTTTTAGAAAACAAATAATTTCTTGTTTTGAAGTATACTTACATGCATTCTATACTAGCATGGTGTCATATCTTAGGAGGAGTCGAACATTATTAGTACGCCTTAGCATGTGTAATCAGTTCTAGGAGGGATATAGCCTGATCAACTATATCTGTCCAAGAAGTAACTTACGCACACTAAGGAATAGTCGTAATAAGCGACGAATCTGATAACCTAATTACACTCCATAAAGAACACGCTAAGAACCAAATATAAACATCTAAAAATACTATAGGAGTATTGGTACGTTTCTATAGTGCCCGATTATTATTTTCCGATATGTGCTTCTTAACCCCATTTCTCGTGCAGACGACATGGCAGGATTTCACATACCCGGGGACCCCTATTTTCCCAATCAGGGAAACGCGGGATGGATCGATGATGAGCCCGAGGAGGATCCCGAAGAGGATCCCGAGGAGGAGCCCGAGGAGGAAGACGAACAAGAAGAAGAAGAGGAAGACGACCAAGAGGAAGATGAAGACGAAGAGGAAGAAGAGGAAGGTGATGAGATAGTCATGTTTGGGAACGAAGCGGAGGAACCACCAGAAGTATTCAACCCTCCCTACATCGCGAGGGTACCCGCGCACCGTTTTGGATACAACGGACCTGAACCCCCTTTGACAAGTGAGTTCATAGTTACTTTCATCTTACACAGATATAAAGTGTTTTATATAAATTATGCGATATGTGTGCATATTGTCTGAATACTTGTTGTCTATGTTGGATGAAAGATTTTATAGATGTTTTAAATGATTTAAACTGTATGTGTATTTTATATCTACTTAATGTGTTGGATAAAACATGGTTAGATGTAATAGTTGGGTGTGATGAAATAAAATTATGAGAGGCCTTTATGTTGACGGTGCTTCTAGTCATCTAGCGTAGTGAAGATGACGACCATAGACTTTTCTAGACAGTCCAGTGGAACGCTAGCAGGCTTTTAACATGTAGGTGTTTGTGAACGATGTGTTCACCGGTGTACTTCATCCACCTCATGGTTGCCTTTAGGAAATTTATTGTTGAGGAACTCCCTTAGTAGTAGTGTCTATCCCGATGATGATCCTCAGGCTAGGTCCCTTATGATAGGTGTTTAGGGACGTAAAGTGAGGATAACGGGAACAGGTAATCGGGTTATTGTTGGTTGATGAAATTAATAAACCTATTTATTATGGGTTGAAAACCTATGTGCTCACCAAACTCCCAATCCCGACCCACTCAGTTTCTTGTATTACAGGTAGTGACACTCGAGCATAGATGTGATGTGTGGATGAGGGATTACGAATTATAGGCATGTAGATATGAATAAATGTTGTAAGGCTTATATTGTACTGTTTATGCTTTTGATTTGTATCGAACATGACATCCCGAGGTTTTTAATGAAATACATTTCTTCGGAAATGCTTTGATAAATATTTATCATATTTTCTTTTGGGAAAAAATTCCGCAATACTTTTATTTAAAATATTACTCTGATTTTTAAACAAAGCATAAACAAAATCGGTCTTTTCTGACCGCAAAAATGGGGATGTCACAGATAAAGTACTTAAACATTTTAGCATGGAGAATTCCAAGAAAGGGGAGCTACCTATCTAGATCAATACCAAATTGAGTAAGACTCAAAGTCTGAGTACCGATGCAGAGATAATGGAAATGAGTCGGGTGTCATATGCTTCCACCGTTGGCTCGATCATGTACGCTATGACATGTACTTACCCTAATGTGACTTTTTCTTTAAGCATAGTAAGTCGATATCAAGGGAATCCGGGTAGAGCTCACTGAATAGAAGTTAAGAATTTTCTTAAATAGATGCAAAGGACTAAGGATTGGGTCCTTGTGCTTGTTGGAAGTGATGACTTAAGAGTCACAGGGTACAGTGATGCCAGCTTTCAAACCGACATAGATAACTTTCGCTCTCAGTCGGGCTAGGTTTTACCCTGAATGTAGGAGATGTGACTTGGAAAAGTTCCAAGCAGGAGACCATAGCTGATTCAACATGTGAATCAAATTACATAGTTGCGAGTGAAGTGTCGAAGGAGGCTATATGGTTGAAGAACTTAATCGGAGACCTTGGAGTTCTGCCAGCCATAAAGGAGCCTATGGAAATTTTATGCGATAATGAAGGAGTAGTTGCCTTAACCAAGGAACCAAGGGATCACGCTAGATTCAGACATATCAATAGAAAATATCATTTCATCAGACATCGTGTGGAAGGACTCTTCGTGGTCAAGAGGGTATCGTTAGAAGAGAATCCTACACATCCACTCACAAAGGGTCTGAGTAGGATTAATCATGTTCAACATGCGAGGAGCACTGGCGTGAAGGAAGATATTATTTTTAGTGAGTAGATACAAATTTAGAAACTTGTAACAATATAAATGTAATTTAAATTGATGATTATGTAATAGAGATTTATATATAAGTAAGTATTTACTATCTTTTGTCAATTTTTTATCTTATGTTTCACTTTGCATGTTTTACTTCCCGAATAATTGGATTATTCAAAACATCCACAGTCGATCATACTTTGGTTGTAAGTAAGGAATGAAGACTATCATGAATTGGTCTATATATTGTCTAAGTGTTTAGACATAGCAAAAGTTTGTTGCAGCGTTCATGAGTACTCCTGAAATAGGATTTTAGTATTGGATTAAACCCACGCTCATTTGAATTGCTTCATGGAATTTATCACGAGTAGTTATGAGACGATAATATTGTATAATATTTAAACCAAGATATATGAGTTGTTGTTTACGAGTTGGTTGTGCATTGATAATACGTAAATGCATCAGCAACTTGATGTTACAAAATGTATTGTTGTGTACGATCTAATGAGTAAATAGTACAAGCATATAAGTCAAAGTTTCTATGTTCATTTTATCTCAAAGGGTAAAAGCGATATCTTGGGCCCCTCGATGATCCAGATACAGTCTTCGGTGGTGACAAAGATGATTTTCAAGATGTTACCTTCAATCCTTTTCATGTTCAAGAAGAAAGCAATGATGATGCCGCTGCCACGAAAGGGAAATTCAAGTCTCTTATTGACAAGTTGGATACTCTCCTTGAGTCTTCCAAAACTTCTTCAAGCTCTCAATACTCATTCGATTCAGTTAACGCTCTGATCAAAACCTTCACCAAGGAGCATGCCAGCACTATTCAAGCCTTTACGAAAGCTGTTGAAAACTGTCACAGGGTTGTTCGCGAAATGGCCGAAAAAGTCGAAAAACTACTGGCGAATGCAACTAAGTTTATGGAAGAATTTTGCAGTTCATCCGAGAACAACACAGCTACTGCAAACAAAGTGATTACCAATCTCGGTTCTGTTCTTCAATCCGAGAAAGAAGCTCTTTTGAAAGTTTGTTTGGGTCTATAGGCAGATAATACAGAGATCGCTTGCTTTGTTGTTTCGGAGATTGAGAAACTCCAAGCTGATCTTGCTATTAAAAATTCCATCATGGACAAGCTCAACATCAAAACTGAAAAGGTTAAAGTTCTTTCTGCTCACCCATCTCATGCAAATGCCCAAGTTAATGAACTGAAATCTGAAGGGGCCATTGTGAAAAGTGTTGTTGTCGACGAAAACCACTACCTGCAGGCTCTTGTCGAGACTCGATACTCTTTGCTCACTGTTTCTGTTAGGAAACATCTTGCAAAGAAACTAAAGCTTGTGTTCTTAATGCTAAACTGTTTAGAAGGTGTTTTGGAGTCCGAATCACTTCTAAAACAAGGGGGAGAAGTTAAGAGAACAACTACAAGTGGTTCGAATAAACATGAAACAACAAATTCTCCACCCAAATCAAAAGATTCAAATGTTAATGTAGCCTCGGGATCTAAAGGAAAAGGAAAGTTAATTGGTGAAGATGATCAAGAAGAACAGGATGATATATATGAAGAGGCTCAATTACAACAAAGGAAAAGTGATTAAGAGCTTGATGAACTCATAGAATAGAAAGAGAAGTTGAAGCTAAGAAGAGAGAGGCTCATGATGCTCATCTGAATCTGGAAACTCAGAATGCTCTCTTTCTAGCTTGGTCCAGGGAGCGAATCTTAAACGAAGCCATAGATAATTTGAATGTATACTGGTTGGAACCAATGACTTCATTTGAGATGGAAACACTTCGGAGTTGCAACTGATTTTCCTATTACTCTGAAGGCATTTTTGTTTTGATGTTTTAACAAGGTGGTGAAGGCTCCAGAGTCAGACAACAATGCTAATCTTCTGCAGATTTCCTTCTATCTTAAACATGCAAAGCCTCAATACTAAACCTGGAGTTCAAAGAAAATTTCCGTTGTGAAGGTTATTCGTCCTATTGAAATTGAGAGCTTTATCAATGCTCACTTCAAGGCTATTTGAGGTTCACTGAGTTCAGTCTTTAAGTTCACACTCACTGACTTACCTTGTTTGAATCCATATGATTGGTTTTCTCTCTTTTCTCTTCTGTCAAAGGATGCACAAAAATTTGATCCGATTTTGGAGCATCTGGAAAGAATGTTAATCTCTTACATTCTTGAGATTGCTAAAATGGATGTGGAAATTACTGCAGTTCTTAGAAAGAAACCCACCGTCCAGCCTAAAGAAAATCCGAAAGATCTTGACAAGATGTCGAAAGGAAATTTTTTGAAGGATGATTTGAGTATGGCGTTCCAACAATGAGACAAGACCGGTGTGAATATTCAAATATGTTGTTTTCTTTTTGCCTGACAAGCAATTGTATTCCACTTCATGTTTGGTGAATGTTTTGGGGTTATCTGAAGCTTGCAAAGAAAATGATATTGCTGAGAAGAAATTCTTCACAAACATAATTAAGTGGTGTGTCACTGTTCACAAAAACTTGCTTGCATTAATGGCAAAACTCTTCAAGGTTCAGAAAAGCATTCAATTGTGAAGAATCTTCTCTCCTTATTGACACAAAAGGGGAGATTGTCGGGATATTTATGGTGTTGTGTCAATTTTGTAATGCTTGTAATTATTCTTTATTATTAGCGTATTGGGCCTATCCATGCGTCATTATGAGTTAGGGTTAGACAATAAATATTACATACATATATTATATTAGGGTTAATAGTTTTGTGATTCCCTACCGTGTATTTACAGAGAAGTTCTTCATCGAGCTCTTCTAAGGCATTGATTTTAATCATTCAGTACAACTTCGATCATTGCTTTTATTGTTCGATTTACTTTGTTGTTAAGAATCTTTCGATATATTAATATTTGATTCAACAGAAAATCCACTTGAAACACATCAATATGATCTTCTGTAGACATCAATCCTATAAGCATATTAACTAGTATTATAATTGTAATTACTAATAACTCTTATTTATATGCTCATTATAATGACAATAAACTTAAATATAAGTTACAGTTAACAAACAGGTAATTGCAACTCAACTTATAGGTTTTCTAGCGAAAACTTAGAAACTTCGCAGGTTTAACTTCAGTTAATTACTTCTTTCGTCGGGTTTTCCAACACTGTATTACCTCGCTACGATGCTTGAAAACTCATAAAGTTGGATCCCAGGGTGCGGGAAAAAGTTTGAGAAAGAATGGTGTGCATAATAAAAGAAAAAAAAATGAGCCATATATATAGGTTGAAGAAGCCCACGCATCAACATTCTAGGAGTGTCACGTTGACTTTAAATTGGTGCGAAAGTTGGTTTTTGTCAGTGCCACGTAGCACACTCCTATGGTGCTACGTCGCCTTCGCAAGTAATTTCTCGTAATCTTTGAAAAACCGTATCTCTTGCATACAAGTTCCGTTTTCCACATTATTTATATCCACGATTTTGTATTCCCATGTACTATAACTTATCTTTAGATCAAAAAAGCTAATTCACATTCTATTTTTTACTTTATATTTTATAAAAAGTATATTGTGGAATATTTTTGCGAACTTCATAACTTCCTCATACGAGCTCCGTTGTTGACGTTCTTCACATCTACGGATTAGTATTTACGAGGACATTGACTCTTCTTTACATCATTTTGGCTAATGAGTAACATATTTACATTTCGTATTTTACAACAAAAACTGACAAACTCCGTTGAACGCGTAACATCAAAAAATCACAACTTCTTCATATGACGTCAGATTTTGGCTTTTTTATACTCACGACTTCATAATCATGACTACTATAACTTTTTTATAGATTATTTATCCCAATTAATCTTTTTATTATACAAAATTATTTTACATAATTTGTTAAGTTTATAAAAAGGTTTTATACAAATATTATATATATATATATATATATATATATATATATATATATATATATATATATATATATATATATATGTTGGATTAGGTATTTAAGCCCATAACTATAATTGGTATTTAGTTGACCCGATAGTAGCATGGTCCTTTTGGATTGCCTTCACCAGAGCGATTTGATAGGATGGACTTTTGAGAAAGAGATTGTTTGTAGTATATTTATTATATTATATGAATAATATATTAATTGAGAATATTATTTAATTAGTATTGATCAAGAATTAATTTGGACTTAATCTAGTGATCAAAAGGTACTGATTAAATTTACGGGGACTGGTTAAGTAAATCAGTAATACTTATAGTTTGGGCTAATGATCCATGTTGATTAGGGATGGGCTAAACCTATATGATATTCCATGAATGTTTAACTCAAAGGGCCTAAGAAATATGAAGGGTCATGGTGAATTAGGGTTTGCATGGAAGAAACCCTAGGATTTCCACACTATAAAAGTAATCCCTTAAACCCCAAAATTGGCTAGTACATTCCAAAGGTGAACCATAACCGATTTGGTGCTTTCTAGCATCTCTCTTATAAGCCACCTCTTGCATTTGATGTTTATAACACATTAGAGGCATTACATTTGAGGTGCTAAAGCTTTTAAAGCCCAAGAACTACAAGCTACGCTAAGAGGTATTCATCTAACCTGGTTTTATGTTGTATATCTCCAATTGCATGCTAGCTAGGGTGTATGCTTCGGAAAAATGAAATTTTATGTATAATTAGAGAAAACTTAGATCCAAAGCATCTAGGGTTGTGTGTGCACCATAGGAGTGTTATAGTACTTAAAACCCAATGGTGGTATCAGAGACTAGGATGTTTTCTATTATATTGATGCAACTGTGTTATTTTCAAAGCTGAAAAAATTGCAATTATGGACTGTGACTGTTGGACTCGACGAGTTAGATGATTTGATGATGAACTCATGGCAGTTTTTCAGTTTTTTTTTGCCAGAATTTGATTAGGATCATTACCACAAACTGGTTTGAATCATAAAATTATTTTTTTCTGATATGGTAGTGATTATCATTATCCAATTGAATGACAATTATCAAATTTTAAGGTAACGATTTGATTATATGATAATTTGATTATTTGTTTTGTTTGATGTGAATTTTCATGCTATATAAGTTAAATTAGGTCAAATTGGTAAAAGATAAATTATATGATAATTGTATTAGTGTAAAAAATTTAATCTAAATGTTTCTTGAAGAATTTCATAACTTGCCCTCAAGTTATGGAATATAAAAAGTCTCATTCACGAAACATTAACTCCATAAGTTATGGAACTCAAAAGGTTTTGAAGAGTTTCAAAACTTGTCCTCAAGTTTGGAACTTGAAAAGTCTCATTTATGAAACTTTAATTCTAAACCCTAGAATTTCAAAAGTTTAAAATTTAACCCTTATACTATTATAATATTAAAAGATTAATACTTATATATATATATATATATATATATATATATATATATATATATGTATGTATAAGACAAGTTAGTCTTACCGTTAGTAGGCCTCATTCATGAAGCTAGTCTATAATGAAGTTAGCCGAACGAGTAAGATAGGACATTAATTTTCATTAAAAAGTATAATGATAAATTTAAAAGTAACTAAATATTTTATAAATTCCCAATCTTAGTTGCTTTATGAAAAATGTGAAAATGATGTTATTCAATGAAATTGTACTTTGCACCTTGCCAAGTCGTTAGTGGAGCATGTGTGGTTAACCGACACACTAATTTGGGACTAATAAGGGTGGGAAATGGTAGCTTGATGTTTATCATAGATCAATGGAGCGTGCGTGGGTTACTGGCACATTGATTAGGTGATAAGTGACATCAAGAGTACCAATCAATTTGCATGGTTATTCACACATTATTTATGATCCTCGGTATCCCAGTCACAAACTTTAAGGACATAATCGAGATATAAACATACCATTGAAAAGTTCAATGAATCTCAAAAGAATCTAGTAATTTTAATTCATTTAAAACTTAATACTCTTTTTCATTTTTCATGGTAAAAATTGGTAGCTCGTCATTTACCTACCTTCAAATATTTTTCAATTGGATTACGACACCCCTCTTCCGAATTTTGAAATATTGTGTTGGGTCCTAGCCTTAATATTTCATTTGGGTGTTATGTTAAGGATTCTTATCTAATTTAAACTTTGTCTTTCTTTTCAGATGTCTTCCAACGCCGCTTCTGGCTCCAACCCTTCTAGCTCGTTCTCCCTCATGAACTTGGTTGGGAGAATTATCTTCGATAGGTCAAACTTCAACGATTGGATCTAAGACATTCATATGGCCCTTCGCTACGAGGACAAAGAATATGTCCTCAATAAAGATCTAAAGGATATTGATGAACAAACTTCTACTCCCGACCAAATCGAGGAATATAGGGTTCATGAGAGGGATGCAAAAAAATTGTCGTGCATCATGATTGCTACCATGACTGCTGAGCTTCAATAGTCTTATGAGGACTTTTGGCCCTACGAGATGCACCAAGACTTGATGGAAATATACCATAAAAGTGCTCGACAGGAAAGGTATGAAATAATTTCCTCAATGATTACAACAAAAATGAAGGAAGGAGAGTCCATCACGTCCCACTTGCAAAAGATGCAAAGGTTTGTGGACCGCTTGCTGAAGT